CACGCTTTGATGGGGATATCCCGATATGCGTTCACACGACCAAACATTCGGGTTAGAAAAGGGTTACCCCAGGTGTAGTAACCGGGTTTTTAAAAACCCGGTTATGAGCATATCCGGGTTTTTGGCAGTGTTTACAAGGACCTGCGGAACCGGGTTATTGTGAATATTCGGGTTTTAAAAGGGTTACTGGCTGCATGTAAATGCACTGAATAAAAGCTTCAAAGAGCTTCAAAAGACTGACGCCAATGATCAAAGGCATGGTTCCACTCTCACAGATGTAAACGGGGTGTGTCAAGCTCATAGCCCCGATCGTGAATTGGAGCAGAGTCTTGGAAGACAAGAGCACTGTAGAAGGAGATAAGACACGGACAGTTAATGCAGGCAGATGCAGTCAAAAAGAGACTTGTTCATGGTTGCAAAATCTGAACCAGTCTCTAAAAGCGCTTTGCAGGGATGCCCCTGTTGCAATATGACAGATACCGTGGGCTTACCACCCATCCCCTGAGGCAGGAGAGGTCCCAACAGTAGTTCATCAGGCTTGAGACCAGGGGGCGCTGGGCCACTGTCCATGGAGGTTGTGTGGATGGAGTGAGATGAGACATTTTGTGTGTTTCCTGTAGTTCAGAGCCAATTAGTATGCCCGGTTGCAGCGTTTCCGTCTTGTCTGGAGGCAAATCAGCAGAGCACAGGGATGGAGCCCCTCCCACATGGGGGGCATTTCCAATAGCTTGGACTTTCGTGACTTCCTGTTGCAGATTGAAAAGCTGCATCTGCATGTTTTTCATTTCAGAAAGCTGCATATGCATCTGGGTCTGTGTGTCATTTTTCCACTGGAAAAGTGGCATTTGCATTTGGGAAATATGCATCTGTAATTGCATTTGGAGTTGATTTTGAATTTGAATTTCATTTTTTATCTGGAAAATGAGAGAAGTCAAATGATTATTTTGGCTTGAAGCCATTGTACTGATGTAACAGATCCTTTAATTTGTTATAAAATTAATGGAAGCTAGATAGAAAACCCTTGCTCAACTGGATGGATGAAAATGAGCTTTGTTACAGGAGAAACTGCAGTGTTTTGAATCACCAGATTCAGGAAAACACCAGAATCGTAATGACAAGAGATGTCACTAAATGGCGGCAGAGTGCCAGGAGTGGGTGCTGACGCGGGTCAGACCCAGGCAAGATGGCAGCAAGTGTGCGCATGCGCCTTATCCCCAAAATGGCGGTTAGCCAAGATGGCGGAAAGAAGTTCGTTTTTCACACCGAAAGTGTTAAAAAACGCCGCTAATTCTGCTCGAGCGATGTAGGAGCTTGTCCCGTAGGAAATAGCGGATTTTAGGAGACAGATTCGCTATGTCGGTCAATACACAACTGTCGGGATAGCTACTCCCTTTTGCCGAAATCGATAACTAAAAGTTAGCAGTTGGGCATGCTAAGCTAGCGGGGCCTGTTAGCTAAACAGGACTTTTGCAGTCTAATTCTTTTTAGAATTGACCAGTCTGAGCAACCAAACATTCGTGACGCTTTCGTGCAAATTTTTCGGACAAATTAGCATGTGCAGTTCGTGACGCAGCATTGCTCTTCCGTTTTAAAAGCTTATAAGGACTGTCACAATTGAATGCTAGTCAAGCTACGGGATTGATTTCTGGTTGATCACTTCTGGTAATCGGAGGAAGCTTTAAGCTCCCAGTGGAGAAATTCTTTTATCTCCGTTACACAAGAATAATACACAGTGGTCACGAAACCACTCAGAAAAAGACATAAAAACATGTATTTACCTTTAAAATGACAGCAGGAAGAAGCCTGTGTTTTTAGATTTGTGGTAATAAATCCAACATGGCTTGAGCTGACGTCAGCCTTAGGTGAAGAGAGATGAATCAGCGCCTCCTGTCGGAGGTGACTAGTGCCCCCCCCCCCCTTAGACTTTCAATGGAGGTCTGCTGCACTCTAGTGACTGATAGGATATCACCTCTTTTCAACCAGAAACATCAAATTTTGAGTGTTTAACTCAGGGGTCGGCAACCTGTTCCCAACAAAGAGCCATTATTACCCATTTCCCACAGTAAAGAAAACACTGGGAGCCGCAGCAGCCGCGGCGTTGTGGGCGGGGCCTACCCTCAGACAGCAGAGAGCTGCTTTAACCAATCACAACAGGTGACAGCAGCCGGTACCGGTCGCTCGTGTATGTCAAAGTTATCTATTATAAAAAAGATAATCAATAAAACAATTTATATAAAATGGATCCAGAAGTTGTAGCCCGTCTCTGCCTACAATATTTTGATATTTTTCACCCTGTTGATGGTTTTACTAAGCAGGTGCCACTTTTGTCATATGTTTCTTTTTAAAACATGTTTAGACTGTTCAGAATACAAATCCAGGCTCTGTCATATTTGATTGTTGTAATTAAACTTTGTAGGTGGGGAAGATCAGAAAAGGATCCGATCAATTTGTTTTTCCCTCATTTACAGTGACGGAGATAACGGCGCTGTGCGCCTGGCTCTGGTGTTAATCAAGTTTGATTTGATCTATTTTCACAAGAAAACAGAACAGTTAAAAGTAGGGCTTGTGTTGTGTTGACTGGACAGTTCCCGTGTTTGATCGTTTATTTTGATGGAGAAAGAATAGAAAGAATTACCCCGACGCATGCAGACGAACTGACATTTTATTCTACGCACATCGCAGATGTAGCTAAATCACTCAAGAAAAGATTGAATATCTGAGCTGGACACTGCTCAGCGCAGCTCACTGTCAGCGTGTACTACATAAGGTCAGTGTTGGGAACGTTACTTTAAAAAAAGTAATTAGTTATAGTTACTGATTACTTTGTCAAAAAAGTAACTCAGTTACTAATTGAGTTACAAGATCATAAAAGTAACTAATTACCAACAAAAATAACTACTTAGTTACTTTTTTCATTAAAGAATGCAAGAATTACTACAATAGTAAAATATAAATGACTAATGACTGGAACATAATAAAATGTATGTTAAAATGTTTTTATAACCCTGAATAATTTAAATAAATAAGCATTTAACAGGAGGAACTAATAATAGGAACATTACACTAATCTAGACTATTAAAAGGTCACTGTGTGATATTTAACAAGACCCCAATCAGCTAACATTTAAAACACCTGTAAAGGTTCCCGAGCCTTTAAATGGTATCTCGGTCTAGTTAAATTACAGAAATGGATGTAATTTTGCACAGCATTTTAATTTTTCCAGCTTCACATAATTGTATGTTTTTAGCAGCATTTCTGTTGCTGGTAATCTAGTAATGGTTAAATAAATAAATTAATATCCTTTAAAATGACACTAGAAGAGGCATAAGCCTGATGGAGGAATTAAATGTACTAACGTGGGTCAGACCCAACCACAGAAAAGCTGAAGCTGGGTGGTAAACACACACAGGTAGTTCTGATAACACCTGAGCTCCATGACGTGATGCATCAGTGTTACAGCGGGACTAAAGACATGATCAGAAACAGGTTACAGCTGGATGATCTAGGAAGGCAGAAGATCAGGACGTCTGAGCGGTGAATGGGTGAGCGGACCTTCGGGACGTTCCGCTGTCACGCCAAGAAGGGCACGGCTGCAGACCCGCATCCCACCAGCAGCAGCGAATCTGCGGGTCTGCAGCTGTAACTTTTCATCACGTCCTCCTCGTTCTTCACGGCCGTGATGCGCTTGGATGAAAACATTTGCCTCTTTAGCTCCTGATCAGCTGACAGCTTCAACACACCGCGCTGCTTAACGCACGCATTTTCTTATCAGTAACAGAAGCGATTGTTTTGTTAAAAGAAGACGTAATTAATTAGTTTGCTTGTTACTGAAAGAGATATTTTTTATTAACGCGGTTATTTTAAACGGCGTTATTCCCATCACTGCTCAGTTGTGTCTACAGCAGGCAGCGACTGAGACGGTGAGGGTCTCCGCCCACCCGGCCAATCATCATCGTGTTTGTAAGTGCGTTACCGACACCTCTCTCTCCCTGGCTGCAGCTGAAGTGTGGCGGTCAGAAAGCCTCACACTGTTGCTCAATGTTCGACAAGCACATAGTAACGCACAACCTTCCGTCCCCAGTAACGGTAACGGCGTTGCAACGGCGGGAAAAGTAATTAATTAGATTATTCTGTTACCTTTAAAAGAACACAGTTAGAAATGCCGTTATACTTAAACGGCGTTACTCCCAACACTGCATAAGGTCCACAGCGAGCTGAAGATGTGGAGAGGGGCTTGGAGCGCGTCGCAGAACCAGAGCGCATGCAGGAAGATTCCTCCGACTGAAGCGAGCGTTTTCCAAACCCTGTCTCTCAGAGAGACTTTTTACTTAGAAAATGTTCCCTGATTATGAAACTTTGGCTGAATAGTGCTTGTTCCTGTCTCCAATGTGGCGACGCATCCAGGAGCCTGTCTGAGGAAAGTCCCAGAATCTCACATCCTCTACAGCTCAGGAAGCGCATATGATTACGCACAAGCGTGACGCGTCAACCCGATCTCACAGTAAGACCGGGTTGGACCTGTTCAGATTTACGCAGACAATCTTTACATTTAGAATTGGCTTACAGATGTAAAATTAATGCAGTAAAATATAAAGCTTTTTATTTAAATATCCATTCATTATTTTACAAGCACAGAGAGCCGCATCAGTTGGATGGAAGAGCCGCATGCGGCTCCAGAGCCGCGGGTTGCCGACCCCTGGTTTAACTGATTAAATTGTCTCAGAATGAGCACAAAGTATTAAAAATGTACAAATAAACGGGCTGGCACGCCAATTATGTAACAATTAAATTTACATATTATTTAATGAACCATAAAATGTGAGATTCCCAAGGGAAAAATGAAATCAATCTTATAGATCTTTGGATAACTTAAACCAGAAGATTGAAACTTTTTATTGCAGGGATTATGTAACCACTTTATATTAACTCAGAGACAAAAGAGAGTCAAGTTTTAAAACTTTAAAGATTTATTACTAAACAAATTAAAACTAGACTAACTTTATACACTAAATGTGTGGTGTAACTAAGGTGAAGTAAGACTGAGGATGGTGTATGTGTGAAATGTTGTTCAGAACCAGCAAATCCAGAGAAACGATTAGTTCTGATGGGAGTGAAGATGATGTTTCGCACTAAGCTTGGTTGGAGATTTATAACACGCATTGAGACGCCATTCTGCCGGCCTACGTACCCTTTTTGGAAGTCCCGTTAGATCAGGAACGTCGAGGTCCAGCTTGACCTTCTCTGGAACCGAAGCCGGTAGGAAAAGCAGCGGTTGCCGACCAGACCAGTCTTGAGATACTTCCGGGTCACGATAGTTTTATTGGCATCTAGTGTGACCCAAAAAGGGGGTCGTGATGGTTCAGCTTTTATTCTGAAAGGAACAGTTGCAGTAGGTGGAACATGCAACGGATTTTATCCAGCTTGTCGTTAGGTTCTTTCGGCTGAAGAGGAAAGTTACGGAATGGCCACTCCGACAATTTCTCTAGAACGCTTGAACTGAAGTTTAAGATGACGTGGGCATAGTTTTATAATTTGGATGTTTTGATTCACGGTCAAATCAAAAAGGGACATCAAGAAGGGATTTACCAAGCACCACCAAAACCAAACCTCACGTCAGATCTGGGAGGCTCTGATTGGATCAGCAAAAGGAAATGTGTCATGTGATTCTTAACATTCCGTGGATGAGAATGTCTAGTGGAAATATTTAAAGTTATAAACTTATTATAACTACTGATCATAAGCATTGTCATTTCACAGATTGGTTCACATTTTATTATTGGACTAACACTTTGTTTGATTAGCTTTATTAAAAATAGAGTTCTTCTGATTTATTAGAAGAAAGAGTCCTTTGTCTTCATTCTTCTCTTGAGCTGGAAAGGAAGAAACAATTTAGGAACAGAGCATGAGACCTTGAGCAATATCTCATGCAGATTAGTTCTGTGTCAGAAACTTCTGGTTTTGCTTTGAGCAGAGTAAAACAGAGCAGGGCCTTTTAGGTCAGAAATGGACAATTCATCACGCTACACACATTACAGCTCAGTATTATTTCCTCAAAGGTTGTGGAAAAAATCCCAAATACAGCAACTGTTCCTCCAACTGGGTGGTCCTGGGGAAGCCATCGCACTTCTAATTCTGCTAGTCCTATTTCCTGAAGATGATCTGCATAGGCTTCAGCAGCAGACAGAAACTGTTGTCAACGGTGGACAGAAGATGGAAACACTGGAGGAAGATCAGAAGATCAGCTGAGCTCTGAGGGGGAAATAGAGGAAATTATAACAACAGTGTAAATTAATTTCTAAATCTGCTGGGAGAGAGAATTAAGCCAGGATGATTGGTAGCAACTAACGCTGACTCTGGCATTTACAACTTATAATGAGAGGCTTATACAAATCTGACATCATTCATGGCAGAATCAATTGTGTTACAGCAGATGAATAATAAATGTATTTATTTATTTCTCAATGTGTGACCCAATCAGCAGAATTAAGAGCGTTAACTGGAGATTTCAGCTGTTTTAAGTGTTTCTGTGTAAAAGTTATTTATTATTTTATATGTTGAACATTTGTTTCAAGTCAGTGAAACAGAGTTCACATCCTTCATGACTGATGAGCTAACAGCCCCAAAAATGGCTTTTTCTGAATGGACACACTTCCAGAGAGGATCACTGCCATCTTAACCCTTAAAGTTGGATTATGGAACATTTAAATAAAAAGCTATATTTTAAAAAAGAAATAATAAAAATACATTTTTAACGGGCACGACAGGATTTACGTTTACATCTACCAGCCACTAGAGGGCATCATTGCACTAAAAAGTCCACTCAGCAAGGCGAGGCGGAGACTGTTTAAAATGGCGGACTTGGCTGCTTAGAGAGGCTGAGCATGCACTGACGGCCGATCACCGGATACTCGGCAGCGTTTGAAGCTGATGGCAGCTCGTTAACAAACATCCACAAACAATTAAGACATATTTTCGCCTAATTTATTTACTGACAACGCAAAAAATAATCTGGTAAGTATAACTCACTCAATCTGGAGGTAAGTGAAGAAAATTTAGAAAGTTTACAAAATTATATTGACGAAGTTTTTGAGTTATTCATTATGGGTCCGAAGAAATCAGCAGCTGAGCCTGAAACACCAGGGACCAAGAGGAGCCGTCCTCAGGACTCGCCTGAGGCCTCATCTTCCCGTAAGGACATATTAGAATTATTGGATTCTATAGATAAACGGCCTCTGGGATTTGAGGGGCGTCTTCATCTGCTAGAAGTTCTACACCAGGAGTTTCAGAACCTCCGTCAGTCTCTGGAGTTCAGCCAGGAGCAGGTGGAGCAGCTCGCTGCTGAGAACGCGTCTCTGCAGGAGTCCGTTTCTTCCCTGGAAGAGGGAATGACGCGGATCACCCTGGACAACAAGATTCTGAAGGAGACGGTTTTGGACCTTCAGGCCCATAGCATGAGGGATAATTTGGTGTTCGCAGGCCTGCCGGAGCAGGCGGGAGGGGCGGAGAACTGCGAGCAAACAATAAAAAACTTTCACCAGACCCAAATGAAGATACCCGAAGAAATGGTAAAAAACATCACCTTTCACCGGGTACACCGCCTTGGAGCTAAAAGAGTCGACAGCAGAAGATCTCATCCCATCGTGGCTAAATTTGAACATTTTAAGCAGAAGGATCTTGTTAAAAGCCACGGAAGAGAGCTCAAAGGGAAAGACTTCAGCGTAAATGAACAGTTCCCTAGGGAAATCCTGGATCGGCGCCGAGTCCTCTTTCCGCTGCGCAAAAAGTTTATCCAGCATGGGAAGAGGGCTGTCATCTCGGTGGACAATAAACTTTTCAAGGAGCGAGGAGTGTCTGACTGGCTGTATTTGCCCAACATCAGGTCAGACATTTATCATTCTTGTCAGGATTCACTGGGTTTGATCACGTCAGGATTAAACAGCTGCTAAATCCGTTTTCTAGATAAGATCACCTGTTCATCACCACCTCACACCCCTATCACCCTTTTTTTAGGTCTTTCTTCTTTTTTAACCTGTATCTGTATTTTCCTTTCCTCTTTACCTGCTTCTGTACCTTTACACCTGTATGGCACAACCACACAACTTTACAACACTGCGTCAGACTCGGCACACACACACACACACACACACACGCACACACACACACACACACACGCACACACACACACACACACACACACACACACACACACACACACACACACACACACACACACACACAAATATATATATTAAATCCACAGCACAATATCATAATTCATGCGTCAAATAATACAACCACAAACACTGTTGGATCTTTATTATTATTATTATTATTATTATTATTATTTATTTATTTATTTTTCTATTATTTATTAACATGCTATTTTATACATTTAGATACGTATTCCATCTTATTCACATGAAGGCGTCATATTTCTATGGGTGCACTAAGGTTTGTCTCATGGAACGTACATGGAGCTGGCTCCATAGAGAAAAGAATAAAGATTTTTGATCAGCTAAAGAGAGTGCAAGCAGACATAATATTATTACAAGAGACTCGTAGACCTGCCACATCCGCAGATGAACTTAAAACACCAGAGTTTCCCAGCATGTTCTCTGTCTGCTATAACTCTAGGCAAAGAGGTGTAGCTATTTTAATACACAAAAAGCATCCATTTCACAGTATTGGTCACAGTTTATGATCTAGAGGGTAGATTTATAATGTTAAAAATATCTGTACAGAATCAAAGCTTATGTATTGTCAGCATATACTGTCCAAATATTGATCACCCTTCGTTCTTTCATAATTTTTTCTCTGTACTCTCCGAACACTTGGACTGTCCACTTATACTTGGAGGCGATTTTAATTTTTGGATGAACTCCTTAACAGACAGGCTCAGTACATCTGGGACTCAGCGCAATTGTCAATCCACTAATATAGTTAAACAGTACATGAGTGATTATGGGCTTTGTGATGCATGGCGATCTCTTCATCCTAACCGTAGAGAGTATACTTTTTTCTCGCACGTCCATCACTCTCATTCACGTTTGGATTATTTTCTAGTCAGCAGCTTATTGTTGGCTGACATTTCAGACACTGAGATACACCTCATAGTTGTCAGCGACCATGCTCCGGTTTCTTTAACTCTGGTAAACAAGAAGACAATCCCACCAAGCAAAAACTGGAGGTTTAATACATCACTGCTTAAAGATGAAGGTTTTATAGAATTTTTTAAAGGAGTGGGCTTTATAATAGAACATAATGACCTGCCTGGAACATCAGCATCTGTTCTCTGGGAGGCAAGAAAGGCAGTGATGAGAGGTAAAATAATCTCTTTCTCATCACAAGAAAAAAACAGAAAACAAACGTATTCAGGAGTTAGAGGAAATCATTAAGTCTTTAGAGGCATCCACAGAAGAAGAGTTAATGAGCAAATTACGTAAAGCTAAATTAGAACTTCATGGAATTATTGACAAAAAGACACAATTTTTAGCACAAAGACTACGAATAGAAACCTTTGAACATAGTAAAAAATCCGGTAAATTTTTGGCTAGCCAGTTAAAAATAAATAAAGAGAAAACTACCATATCTGCTGTTAAAGACTCAACCGGGAATATAGTTTATGACCCTGAAAGCATAAACAACACTTCCAGAGACTTTTACCAAACTTTGTACTCACCACAGATAAACCCATCAGATAACGAGATCAATGAGTTCCTTGATAGGATAACACTTCCTAAATTATCAGACAGCCAAGTTACAGTCCTGGACTCGCCACTAACATCAGCGGAGCTCCAGGAAGCCCATAAATCCATGACTAATAGGAAAGCCCCAGGTCCAGACGGGTTTTCAGCAGAGTTCTACAAAGAATTCTGGATCATTCCGGCTCCAACATCTTTCAGAATGGTGAGGGATATTGAAGAGAGCGGCAGATTACAGCCAAACATGAATTCAGCCAATATTAGTCTCTTGTTAAAACCAGGCAAAGACCCTGCATTTCCTACCAGCTATCGCCCAATTTCCCTTATTAATGTTGATCTCAAAATAATTTGTAAAGCCCTGGCAAAAAGATTAGAAAAGGTAACCCCCTTCATAATACACCATGACCAAACTGGTTTCATCGAGGGTAGACAGTCATCCACTAATTCACGTAGATTACTTAGTTTGATAGATTTCTCTTACAGTAGAAACATAGAAACTAGTATATTATCTCTAGATGCAGAAAAGGCTTTTGATAGAGTTAACTGGAAGTTCTTATTTGCAACTTTACATACATTTGGGTTTGGGAACTTCTTCATAAACATGCTACAAACATTAAACAGTTCACCAACTGCACGTGTCAGGACAAACGACCAAATATTAGCTAGCTTCTGTCTTCAGAGGGGGACCAGGCAGGGATGCCCACCCTCCCCCTCACTGTTTGCTATCTTTATTGAACCACTAGCAGCAGCAATTAGGCAAACAACAGGTATTAAAGGCATTAAATGTAAGAAAATAGAACATAAGATCAGTCTTTATGCAGATGATGTTTTACTCTTTCTCCAGAATTCTCAATCATCTCTCTCTCATTCAATAGAACTGATAAACTCTTTTTCAAAAGTTTCAGATTACTCTATAAACTGGTTAAAATCCACAGTTCTACCAATTAATTTCTCTTTTGTCAATTTACTTAATACACAATTGGAGTCAGGGAATATCACATACCTGGGAATTAATGTCTCTCCCAAGTAAGTAGATCTAACCAAACTAAACTACATCCCACTTTTAAGGAAAGTGGAAGATGATCTTGCAAGACGGAAATCCTTACCGATATCACTCATGGGGAGAGTTGCAACAATTAAAATGATGGTCTTACCCAGAATAAATTACTTATTTTCAATGATCCCAAACAAACCACCAGCTGATTTAGATCTCTGGACTCCTCAATTACCAAATTCCTTTGGCCGGATAAACCTCCACGAATTAGCTTAAAAACGCTTCAGAAGACCAAAGACAGAGGAGGACTGTATCTACCCAACTTTAATTATTATTTCTTAGCCAACAGGCTGCAATATATATCAAGATGGTTGCAAGATAACCCACTAGATGAGTCTTGGTTAGACATAGAACGGAAACTTTGCAATACGATAGAGCTTTCAGACTTACCATTTATTAGCTCAAGCATAAGAAAACATGAAGGCTTCAAAAATATTTGTATCAGCACCTCTCTGACAGCATAGTGGGAGTATCTTAAAATGACAGTCTTCACT